AAACCTATATTTTCATATGGAAAGTAATCGATAAAATTTATTTAGAAAATGAATTTTATTATGCTATGCGAGCTATAAAATTTTTTATTTTTAACTACAGTCTTATTAAACCGCGGTTGATACTTACACCAATGTAAAGAAGAAACAATAACTGTTATTATTTAATGAAGTAACATCAGAGCACCATATGGATTCCATTACATCTTCGTTATTTGGGTTCGAGAAAAATATTTTGGTAAATTGGTAATATTAGCAAATAATATCATTTTTTTAAAAAGCAAAATAAATGAGATATTTAATATATGCAATATTTATTGTATTCTGTTTTTAGAGGAGTAAAGTTATAGTACTGTATCACAAAGTAGAAAAGAACAACAACGAGATTCTGATGAAAGAGCTTATCGGCTGAAATCCGATTTCTTTATGATCCTAGTATAGTAGAAAAATTCGAGTTAACGTACGGTGAAGTAAGTGTGTCTCCTCGCCATCAAGCCAGGGTCGAAAAGAAGGTTTCCATTTTGAACAAGATTTCTTGAAAACAGTCTAAAGCCTACCTCAAGGAACTGTTATAATAAGTATATAATTAATTATTAAAATTATTAATTTTATTTTTTTTATGTTTAGAAGAGGAATAGTATTGTAATGATAAAGGTGTTAATGAATCAATATACAAATTATTTATTTCTTATGATCCAAACGTATAATTATCATAAACTTCAACCATCATTGATTTATATAAATAATTTATTTAAAAGATCAGCAGAATTTGAGAATGAAAATGCCTCAAAAGTCACAATTATTGATGGGAGCCGTACAATGATGCCAAGTGTGTAATGATTTTATTCAGATGGGCTCGATTTTTACAATTATAATCTGGAATTTAACCAAATTTAGAAGCTCCTCTATATGAAAGTAATCATGAATATTTAATGAGAAGGAAGATATTGATAAATTTTCTTTTAAAAAATCATAAGAATTGAAATCAATACTATGGTGCTTGCTCTTTCATAATCACGTAATAATTACCCACATTGTTCGAAGTAAGCCTTTTCTGAAATTAAAGAA